GGAGGCACATATGCAAACAAGTGGGAGGCACCTGTGTAGGTGCATAATTCCTACACTGTTCACCTGAGTTGGATGTACATACCCTCAAATTAAAGCTGACAGTCTGCAGTTAAAGCACATTGTGTTTGTTTCATTCCAAATCCATTGTGGTGGTGTATAGAGCCAAAGATGTTAGAATTGTGTCGATGTCCCAATATTTCTGGACCTGACTGTATGCATTGTGTGAGGTTGGAATGTTTTGGTTCAGGGATGACGATCATTCAAGGTTTAAGGGATGGTGTATTTTAGATTAGGACTACATAGATCTGATGAATAGGGTCAGACCTTTGTTTGATGCAAAGTCCAATTCCCCTCAAAGTCATTTGAAGACCCTCTAATTTGACCCAAGTCCCTGTTTGAAACTCCAAAACTCAGTACCTATCACTGGAAAATTATGCTTCCCTGTGACATAGGCTGGCCAGGAATTCAGAGAATTAGGGACTCAAAATACCTTGATGGTTGGAGAAGGCTGATATATGTGGAACAGATGGGAGGAATCATCACCACTACTGGCAAGGACAGTGTGTTCGATTGCTCTATTCCATCTGGAGCAGGTATAGTGGCTTTTTTGTTGAGAGAGCGTGGCCCGAGCTACAGTGTACTTGTGGCCCTGTTGAAATTGTGACTGAGCGCTTTCTGGGACTCACTGAATGAGTCTAATCTGCCTTAGTGATAAATTCACTGAGCTAACTATTACTATGTGATGCATGCCAAGTTTTATTTATTTATCCAATTTATGTACCTGCCCATCTCTCTAAGAAACTCTGGGCAGTGAACAAAATAAAAACAGAAGTTCATTAAAACAAAACCCCAGTTAAAGCTGCATCAAGGCTCAATAAAAACATAAAACCACTACACCTTGGAGTCTCTTCTTGGTATTTCACAAAGCAAAGAAGATCATATTATTTAACTGGCCATTTGGTGGATGATGTTACAGTTTTTGTTGGTTTATTTTGAATGGGCTGCCATGTTGCTGTGACAAAATATAAATATAATGCGGGAGCTGAATTTGAAGCCTACTTGGCTATGAAGCAGTATTAAACACATGTAATAAAAGTCCATAAAACTGTAATTAACATGAGTCGTGTCATCTGGTTGTTGTTTTGGAACAGGTTCTTCTTGGGGGGTTCTTCCATTAATCCACAAGTTACTCAGTATAAGGAAGTGAGGATTCTTTCATATTTCACCTGACAGCTGCACAATGGCAACATTAGCAAATAAAGGGTGAGTGCTTCTGGGGTAGAATTGTAAAAATAATAATAGAAGTGTATGTATCGGGGGGGGGGGAAGAACTGAGTTTGTGTATCCTTACATTTATTCTTGCATAGTGCCTTTCAGCTAGTGAATAGTATGACAAATCTGTCAATAAAGGCGGGCACTTCTCTTTTCTGCGAATAAGAGCTTTTGACCTAAATTGCACTGAGAGAGAAAAGAAAAACAGCAAAGCAAGAAAAGACTAGGACTCCTCTATAAAAGTATTTGGAAGTAAGTTCAATAGCATTTTCTTCCTTGTAAGTGTGCCTGGAATTCCAACTTTGCACACCAAAGTCTGCAAATAACAAAATAGTAGTTTTTACAGCTATGTGCTGACCTCTAGGCAGAACACTGGCAGAAAGTGGACACAGTATACTCTAAACTTGTCAGCCAAGTTAATATTCCAGCATGGGTGTCTACTACACCCTGACATTTTGCATTTACACCCCTAGGTTGGATGCAAGTCCTGTCACCTGTGGTGAGATGCGTTTGCTCTCCCCTACAGATACCACTGATTGTTTGTGTCTATTAGATTTTAGGTGAATCTGAGAGTCATGATATACAGTATGGCAACCTTCTCTAACCTAGTGCCTTCTAAGTATCTTGGACTACAGCTCCCACTGGGCCTAATGGTATTGCTTTCCTGTCAGGTAGTTGGTGGGGGTTGTAGTCCAATAATGACACTAGAGTGGGGAAGGTTGCATCATAGCAAGCAGATACTTTAAAATGTGGCCCCACAACCTCCACACAGCAATTTGTACTTTAAGTAGCAGCTGGAAATGTTGGGTTTCAGACCAACAAAAGGACTAGAGAATGAGCATTATGGGACGGTGGGGGGGGGGATCTACAACAGCCATAATTTTGCACTGATGTAATTAGTACAGTTTAACATACTTGAACCATATAATGATTAGGAAGATTCTAAGTTATTGTCTGTGTTATCTCTGGTGGAGTTATTCATATAAAAAAGATTGATTTACCACTCATCTAAATCCAGTTTCACTCTGGATTCAGCCATTTGGCTTTAAAAGGGAGAAGGTGATTTGGAGCGCACAATAGTGTATACAATACTGTCAACACTTCCTTAAATCAAGTGTGTCTCTCGCTTTGATAGTAGGGTGACTGCCAGACTAGCTCAGGAAAAAACACAGTTTCTTCCTAATTGCTGAAAGTTGCTCAGCAAACACCCCATTCATTTCTGCACAGCTCTATCATGTCAAATCAGCAAAGCTGCTAGGCTTTTAGCCTACGCACATCTGCATGTGTGTATTTATTTAAGAATTGATTTCGGCCCAGCAAGCTGCTAAGAGCGATGGATCTGCCAGTACTTTAGCAGTTTGGTGTCTGTGAGGGCTTCAGAGAATGACAGTGCCTTTTTCTACAGCCACAGTAAAAATCCAGTTAGGCAAATAGAGGAAAAGAATGATCTATCCCTCTTTTGCCAGCAAACTCACTCACTTGCTGCAATTAGGCAGTAGTTAAACTTTCCAGGAAAGGCAAATAACATCCACAAGGTACAGGTAGTCCTTGCCTAATGACCACAATTAGGACTGGAACTTCTGTCGCTAAACAATGCGGTCGTTAGGCGAAACATCACGTGACCGCATCGCTTAGCGACTGCAATCCCAGCAGTCCCAGTTGCCGTCGTTAAGTGAATGCCCCAGTCGTTAGGCGAGGCAACTTCCTGCTGGCTTCCCGCAATCAAGTCAGTGGGGAAACTGGCAGGTGACCCAGGTGCTGCCAGGTGGGGAAAGGAGCGATGGGAGGGTCGGGGTGGGTTGGATGCACAATGGTGCGGGTTGGGGGTACCAGGGCCTCAGACCTGCTTGGATTTTCAGCCCAAGTGGAGAGGCTGAGACTGAAAATCCAAGTGGTTTTGAGGCCCTCACACACCTGACCCAACCCAACCCTCCCACGTATCTCCATGCGCCCATCCTCCCCCTCCCCCATTCTTGGTGACTGAAAATTCTGCTTGGATTTTCAGCACAAAGCTGTTACAGGCAACCTCCAAAGCTCCATGCACTAAACACCCAGTGCCGAAATCCTGCTTGGATTTCAGCACAAAGATTTTTCAGGTAGCCCCCAAAGCTCCAAAGCTGTTACAGGCAGCCCCCGTGGGGGCATTTAGCACATGAAGCTTTTGGGGCTGCCTGTAACAGCTTCGTGCTGAAATCCAAAGAGGATTTTGCCATGGGGCATTTTCAGGCAGCCCCCAAAGCTCTGTGTGCTAAACACCCCGTGCAACAGCGTTTAGCACATGGAATTTGGCAGCTGTTTGTAACAGCTTCATGCCAAAAATCCAAGCAGGATTTCAGCACAGGGCCTTTAGTGCATGGAGCTTTAAGGGCTGCCTGAAAATGCCCTATACCAAAATCCTGCACGGAGCTTTTTCAGGCAGAGACAAGAGGGAGTCCTCTGAGCAGGCAGTAACAGCTTGCAACCTTTCCTGTCAGCTTCCCCCTTGACTTTCACCGCAGGCAGTAGGGAAGATTGCAAATGGCAATCACATGATCATGGGGCACTTGGCAACCAGTCATAAGGGCAAATTGATTGCCAAGGGCCCAGATTGCTGTAACTTCAGGTTAGGTCGTAAGTCCCTTCGTTCAGCACTGTCATAACTTTGAATGGTTGCTGAATGAATGGTTGTTAAGCAAGGACTACCTGTAAACACCAAATTCAAGTACAGCTTCAAAATAAACTTGACATCTAACAGCTGTAGTGTGCCATGTTAGTCTCTTGGCACTTTTCAACCTTACATTAAGGATCAGGATGAAGAAAGAATAGGTGGCAGAATTTAGTTAACCTTGGCTGATCTTGAAAAAGTTTAACAAAGCTGGGCCTGTTTAGTATGCAGGTGAGAGAATACCAGGAGATTCCAGGGCTTTAGACTAGATAAGAAAGTTGAAAAACATTCCAAAGTAGTCGGTGACAAACCACTTCTGTGTTGTTACCAAGAGAACAATGGATGTTGTCTGTTGCATCACCAGGAATTAAGCTTGGTTTGAGAGAGACCTTTAATGGAATGATCCAATCAGGCTATAACAAGAAAAAATGCATTTTTTGAAATTCAGGAAGAAAAATGTTCTGGCATCTGTACTTGAAAACGCTATTGTGAACACTGCACTTTTTTTTAACTACAGGTACTATTGTTTTGCCTGAAGTCTTGCAATGAGAGATTTTGGAGACCACCCTGCATGTGGACTAACAGTCATTACTCTTGTTGTGATTTTTGGCTACAGTTTTCAAGAAGTAAAGTTCTTCTCTTTGTTCACTCAGGGGCCCTAAAAAGGTTGGGTTTTTTGACTGGCTGATTGAACAGATCAACAGTGGAAGATACAGGGGATTGGACTGGACAGACGAGAACCGCACAACCTTTCGTATCCCTTGGAAACATATTTCAAAGAAGACTCTTGTGGCAGATGATTATGAGATTTTCAGGGTATGAACATCTTCTGCTCAGAATGATTACATGTATGTGCTTGCTATGTCAGATGGTGTACTCTTTTCTGTAACCATTACAAGCTTCTAATATTTTAAATGGATCATGATACAAGCTCTCAGAGTTTAGGCCTATTCATTGATGGTGAAAGAGACCAACATAACAATTTTTTCTAAAAAGCTCTTTGCTATATCAGTGAAGAATCCATTTTTATTCCAATATCCCTGTGTATGTATAGCATCCCATGGTTCCTTTTAGGCAACAGATTACTTTAAATGCTTGTGGATGGATGTAAGTAATGCCATGGATTCCAAAGAATTTTTTTGAGAAACCTGACTTGGAAATTAAGGGCAGTTTCTGTTGAGGGCTTTTTATTATGCAATCTTGAGAAGTTATAGGGGCTCCATAAATTGACACTTCCATCGTAGGTTGCTCTTGCAGTTTTTCCATTGTTCCTGCATATTTTTTCCTTTTTATTTATGATAAAGGAGAACGGGTTGGAGTAGCTGCACAATGCCTGATAGTTTAATGAAGACCATCTCTGAGTAAGGCTTTTATCTTTGTCCTCACTAGTTTTGTTCAGAAACCCCCACAAGCACACCCTTGTTATCTATAATGGGAGGAGAGCTATTACTGGCACCAGTGGAAACTTTTCTCCCATTCTGAGTAGCAGGCATCACTCTCAATGGACGTGATTCCTTTGAGATGGCAACAGGTAACAAAATATGCAAGTTCTTACCACCACATCTCCCCCTGGTATGGTTCTCCATCTCCCAGTTACTTCTTAAAGCAGTGTTGTCCAAACTAGGCCACTTTAAGATGAGTGGACTTCAACTCCCAGAATTCCCCAGCCAGCATAGAATTCCCCAGCCAGAATTCCCCAGCCAGCATTGAAGTCCACTCATCTTAAAGTGGCCAAGTTTGGACAACACTGTCTTAAAGAAAAGTTAGTTGCACAAGAGCAGTCTTCCCCAATGCATCAATCTCCAGATGTTGGATACGTGCATTTTTGAGAACTGCAGCTCTAACACACATCTGAAGGGGCACTAAATTGAGAAAGGCTGCCCATGAGCAAACTACACAGTGAAATAACATCTCTAGTTCACCCTTTGGTTTGCCTTTACCTTTTACCAAGTTTTGGAATATTAGTTTTTTTATTAGGTTCTGATTGCCCAATTCCTGATTAGTTGGATCAGGAATTAGGCAAGGTGGAACCTGACTTTTCTCTGAAGGGAGAGGTATCTTTTGTTCTAACATTTTCATCTCTTTATTTCTTCTGTTTTCATGTGGAAAGGCATGGGCTATGTTTAGCAAAAAATATAATGAAGATATATCAACTCCTAGTAAATGGAAAATCAACTTCCGCTGTGCCATGAACAGTACAAAGAGATTTGAAGAACTGGTGTCAAATGAACCTGACTTTCACAAGTACAGAATCATCCCCCCGAAACCCAAAACCGAATCAACAGCTAACCTCCCTTCTGGTACAAGTAAGAATAATAAGGATTTGTAGTTCAACTTTGTAGGAGTTGCTGCCTCTTCCTGTATTTTTTTTTTAGCCTACCAGCATAGAGAGAGGTGTAATTTCCTGTATATAGGAAATAATGAGAAAAGTGAAGAGAGTTTGGAATTTTGAAAGGATATCATTTAAAAATAAGTGGTGGATATCCATATTATCCCAAGCTAACTTTGCAAAGCCTTATCTTGGGGAATTTATTGAATTGCTGTAACAATGTCTGTATCCATCATGTGCTGGCAACTGCATCTTAAAGCACTTCCATTTTCTTGAACCCTCCCATATCTGAAAATTTGCAGTGGTGCAGGATTGGATTTTTGAACAAGAATTGCCAATTATTAGCCAATGGTCAGCAAGTGTGTTTCAGTTTAATAAGTGTGAATTAAGAAAGTATGATGATCGGGAGTGGAATGAATCAAGAGAGTAATCCAATGTAATAACTTGCCTTGTTCCAAAGCTGGTAACTATAGTTAATTGGAGACTCCTAATTCGTGCCACAAAAAGACCGTATGTGGCAAAAGGCTTGTTCAGCTCTCTATAGGGCTTGCAGTTCTTCGATTCTTTTTGCTTTAAATCCTGTATTTATTTTATAAGGGAATTATTCTACATGCAGTCCTGGAGCTGGTGATTAGAGCTATAACTGCACAGTTTCTTCACTACTTTACGCTGAATTGGATAGTCTTATAGTCAGTCAGTCAAAGTTATTGACTGGAAGACCAGTATAGAACAAAACAATTAACTAAGTGTTTAAAAGTAAAAGGAGGACTGCTTGTAAAACATCTGCTAAAGGAATAATGCAGAATATTATCATTATTATTACCAATGTAAACTGTGTCTCTGCAACTAAGAAACAGTGTTATTTGTCTAAAACTAAGACATAGAGCTAAAATTCTAAGATAGATAATAATCTGTATTATTCCTTCGGCTTGTGTTTTGTATTTGGTCCTCCTCTTTTACTTTTAAACAGATGGTTAATCGTTTTGTCCTATACTGATCTTTGACCGAAATAAACTTTGACCGACTGGATGATCTTACATCATACTAATCTCTATCACTGTCATAGACCACTATAAGAATAATCTTATTAAATCATTAGCGTTATTTTGAAGAATTGGGGTGGGGGAGAGTAACAGGGAAAAGTACTGGTATGCTCTGTAGATATGTCCATGCAGCTTCCCTTCATGAGATCACACGTGAGTTTTCTCTATTCACACTATCCCATGCTCCACCCATGCCACCCATCCTTTAGCATTGATGTGAAAAGTGTCTCCAGATGTCCATATATGGGGGAGTTGGTGGAAGCCCTGCATCCTGCATAAAGGAAGATGCCCCTTGTCCCAGGGATGGGAGCTGTGACATGTGTCAGGATTGTGAAACCCAAGTCAGTGAGCTTGGATTTGATACTCCTGAGGGGAAGTACGGTTTTTGAAGTGCACATGGGATTGTGCAATTTTGGTATCAGCTTTTAAAAGCTAAGCTTATACACTACTGAGTAAGGCTAACAATTACTACCAAGCATGTTGGCAAAGTAGTAGTTCTGCTGATGTGCAGCTGCAGGAGAGAAATTAGAGTTGTACAATATGCTTTCTTGACTCAAAAAACATTAACAAAACGCCCAGACCTAATAAGAGTTGGAGACAGAAGTCCAGTATATTACCAGTTATGTGCAATGCTAGGTGGTATTACTTGTGACTCAATATAGCTTATGCTCAGTGTGTAAATATTGAATTTAATTGTTAATAAATAAAACATGAAATTCTCAATTTCTATTTTTGCTGTTGTCCCCTCTTTAAGATAATGGGAGTGACTATGAAGCTGAAGCATCACATTTCAGTCCATACGGTGAAGAATGTTCAGCTTTGCACCAGCCTACACACCTACCACAGGTACAGATCGGTAACACTTGTTGTGATAGCTGGATTTGAGAGGGCAGTGGAACCACTGAAAACATTAAGTTTGGAATTGGTCAACATAAACAGTTTATTGTATGGAAAATCACTGAAGGGATTCATAACAAATAATCCATGAGCTGACAAAATTGAAAAGCATATGGATACAAAGATTATGGGGATATTTACAGGATTGGAAAAAAAACCCTGTCTCTAGAGAAACAGCATCTAGATAATCAACTTATTTATAAATGAAGTATTTCGGGTTGGCTGAAAATCTATTTCTGACTCAGAGGTTACTTTGTAAAACTTATTTACAGTCGAACACAGTTCCTGATATATCTTTCTGTTTAGCTTATAGCCCTAGTATTTCTCAATGGTTCACCACCTAAGTATTAACCAGACCCAACCTTGCTATCTTTTTAAGATCATTCAAAGTCAGAGAGATGCTGCTGTTTATCTGTTTTATCATATCTATTTCAAGGGAGGTGAAGTATATGCAACATATTCTCACTGAAGCATTCAAGGTCTTGTGAAGTGCTGTGCCTTTGCCTTCTCTTGCTGGAATTGTTTGATAGCTTAAGATGTGGTTTTGACATGTCCCAAGATTTTTTTCTTCAGTTGTAAAACTAGCAAATTATATTAGTATCTTGTTATTGGGAGGCCTTACACAACTGACTAAATGTGAACATCCAATTACCTTTTAGGCACGTAGTTTGGAAGCATCCTTGATTCTTGTGTTAGTTGTTTAGAACACTTGCATCCAAGAATTTTCCAGATGAGTTCCATCTACCAGTGCTCGAACTGAGATAATTCTCAGGTGTGAGGCCAAAAGTTGCTCTTGTTTTAACCAAGTTTGTAATAAGAGTATAAAACCTACATTGTCCAGAAGCTTGATTTAAATGTTTCTCTACCGCATTCTTTTCTATGGAAGATGCATTACATTTTGGTACTAGAGCTTGCTATTAAAGACACATAATGCAACCATTCTGTTGATTTTGGTGTACATTAGATTATTTTAGTCTGGGCTGTCTGACTTATTTAATGTTTTTAGCTGTTTTTATGTTTTCTCTAGTTTTGTATGCTGCCCAGAGTCCACTGGAATTGAGCTGCCAATAAATTTTAATTAATTAATGAAATTGGAAATGTTCAGTGCCTGGATAAGAGGAATATCTAGAAGCCCCGAGTAGTCTAGAAGTTGCCTTATGCTAAGTCAGTCTGCTGATCCTTTGGATCAAGTATTGTTGACATGGACTGGCACCTTCTGTGTGGGAATTTAGACTGGAGTCTTTCCTCACCCTTCCTGGACGTGATAGGGTTTCAATTTGAGGCTCTCTGCATGTCAAGTGTACATTTACTATTGAGTTGTCATACCAGGATCTGTCCTCTTAAATTCCGAATTTACTAACATTTTCAAGGCGGGCCTACACTGCTTTTGCTCTCCCTTTTCCTTGTTCATGGAAAAGAATACACAGCAGTTTCCTGTCTAATGGGTCAATCTGACCCATATAGGTTTAAACTGGAGGTATGAACTATACACTTTTAAGCCTGCAGCTTTGATAGCAGCGACCCTTGCATCCTCCTGCATAATATGCATGTAATATAATTTGGAAGACCTGAGGTAGCATTTGTGTTTTAAATTGAGAGAGAATTGATTACTGAAAAATATGGCAGTATCATGGGGTAAGCTTTTTAAGTGTAACATCAAGAAAGGTTGATTGGCACGTAATGAACATTTTCACAAGGCATTTCTCAGTATGTGTGATAAAACCTTTTGTCTGGTTCGCAGCTGGAGATAGATGCTGCTTTTCGAACTTTGACACTGGAAAGTGGAATGCCAGGTAAGGTGACAGATGTTGTGGGCGCTCATTTATTGCTACAAGTGTTGGTTGGGGTAGAAGCCTTGATTATCTTGCTAGACTGGGATGAAACATATTTGATAATGACAAGTATAAATGTGCCCATTTTCAGTGCTGTGCTTCAGCTGGACCCACAGTTGCAGGCAACTTTATGCCTATGAAATAGTTAAAACATATCCTGAACTGATTTTTTTTAATTATTAAAACTTCCACTTGGATTTCTAAATTAAGGATTAGAAATTTGGGCTGCCAGTTATGTCTAATAATGCCCATTGTTGAATTATTGATGTGAAAATGAAGGGGGGGGGCTTTTTAAATTACAGTGTATTTCTTAGGCTTAATCTATTACTATGCTGAACAGTGTCTGGCCATGATGAAAACCTGACCATTGTACTTTCCTGACAACTCCTGAAGCGGCTATCTCAATCCAGCTGTATTGGATCACTTGTTAGCGAAGGTTTTGAGGAAAGCGGTATAGCTGCGGTTGCAAAGAATCCTTGATGAAGCAAATTTAGATAAACTCCCTTTTTGGTCAGATTTCAGACTTGGGATTGTGGGACTGAAGCTGTACTGGTCACTCTGGTAGATGATTTTTGTTGGGACCTGGATGGCATGAGTGCAGCCCACCTGGTCTTATTGAATTTCTTAGAAGCATTCGGTACTATCAGCCATGGCATTCTTTTGGACCACTTGCAATGTATGGGAATTGAGGGCACTCTCTCGCCCTCATATTGTTTAATATCAACATGAAACACCTGGCTGAGGTCCTTCTATTTGGAGTAAGCAGTCATTATGCTGATGATATCCAGTTATATATCTCCACCCAGGCCAGACAAGAAATGCAGTGGGTGTTCTTTCCTGATGTCTGGAGACCATAAGGGACAGGATGGGATGAAGTGGGCTGAAATTGCATCCTGTCAAAACGGAGTGCAGGTTGGCAGCAGTCCTATCTCTGTCTCTGGATGGGATGCAGCCTCCCAAAGGAGCAGGCCTATGGCCTGGGGGTCCTCTTAAATGTACGGTTTCTACTCGATCAGTAAGGGGAGCCAGAGGCCAGGAGAGCTTTGTTCAGTTTTGCTTGGGTGCCAGTTGAGGCCCTTTCTGGAATAGGAGGCTTTGGCAACCGCCACTCATGCCCTCATTATCCCCAGAACAGGTCACTGCACTGTGTTGTGCTTGAGGCTGCCTTTGAAGACTACCCAGAAACTTCAGCTGGTGCAACAGGCAGCCTACTTCCTGATAGGTGACAGCTGTTCCCGTAGGATTTCCTGGGCACTGCATTGGTTTTCAGTGCATTTCCATGTCCAGTTCAAAGGGCTGATGTCAGAACCTGCATCAGTCAAATGTCATTTTTAAAAAGGTATAGCAGTCAATGGGTGTTTGCTTGATTTGATTCTGCCATTTGTAGCTGGGGGGGGGGTGGTAGTGTATAGTCGTGTTTGAGTTATTGCTATGAGATGGAGAGGCGCTCAAACTGATATGGGAATTTACAGCAAGACCTGAATGCAGACAAAACCAGTGGTAGTCTGAAG